GATTCTTCCGGATTTGTTCAGGGTTCCTTTGAATTCGTTTTAGGATTCCACAGGATTCCAGCGGATTTTATCAGGATTCCAGTTTGGCGCGTCCTTCGGAATGCTGAGGATCCTCGGGGGGTCCGTAGGAAGCCTGCGGATTCTTTAGGATTGCGTCGAATTCCGTAGGATTCCTTTCCCCGATGTGTGGGATCTCTTCTGATTGTTTTCGTGTTCTTTGCGGTTCCTTCCTAGGCATCGCATACGATTTACATCGGGATCGCATGCGACTCACTTAGGAACCGTAGATGAGCCACATAGGAATCGTATACGGTTCACATCGGAAGCTTGAATTATTCACATACGAATCGCGTTCGATCCACATCGGATTCGTACACGATTCTTATAGAAGTCGTATACGACTCACATAGGAATCGTCAACGGCCCACAGGAATCGTATACGATTCAATCCACACACTATTCGTACACGGCTCGCATGGGAATTGTATTTGATCCGCACAAGAGACGTATACGGTACACGTAAGATTTGTTTCACATGAACATGTAGACGATGCACATTGCAATCGTATGCGACTTATATGAATATCGTGCACGATTCATACGATTTACATAACACGCGCGTGCATTTCACATATGAGCCGTCTCCGATTAGCATTGAAATCGTATGCGATTGACAGGTTTCTTCCACGATTCCCATAGAAGTCGCATACGATTGCCGGAGGAGCCGTACACGATTCACATGGGAGCCGTTACGATGCATACACGAACCGCATGCGATTCGCACCAGACTCGTTGACGAGTCACATCAGAGTGTACGGTTCACGGAGGGGTCGTGCACGATGCACATAAAAAGTTATTTACGAACCACAGAGGAAGCGTATACGGTTTACATTGGAGTCGTTAAGAATGTGCACAAGAGTCTTGTACGACTCACATCAAAATCGCATACGCTTCACATCGGAGTCGTACAGCATCCATAACTATCCCGGCAAAGCAACCTAACAGCGATGTGTAGGAGCATATTTGGAAGCATCCCCTTTACGATTCAGATGAGAATCCAGTTGTAGAATTCTGTTGTTCTCGCAGTCGTAGTCGCATTCGCGATGACAGTCGCAGTGGCAACGGCAGTCGCAGTCACAGCCTCAGCCTCAGCCTGCCTCAGCCTCAGCCTCAGCCTGCCTCAGCCTCAGCCTGCCTCAGCCTCAGCCTCAGCCTGCTTCAGCCTCAGCCTCAGTCTGCCTTCAGCCTCGGCCTCAGCCTCAGCCTGCCTCAGCCTCAGCCTGCATCAGCCTCAGCCTCAGCCTCAGCCTGCCTCAGCATCAGCCTGCCTCAGCCTCAGCCTCAGCCTGCCTCAGCCTCAGCCTCAGCCTGCTTCAGCCTCAGCCTCAGTCTGCCTTCAGCCTCGGCCTCAGCCTCAGCCTGCCTCACCCTCAGCCTGCCTCAGCCTCAGCATCAGCCTGCCTCAGCATTCAAAATGTGGCCCGGGAATGAAGTTCTGGCAACTCGAAGAACACGAAGTGGCCTACAGTTGGCTCTGGGCATTCAAAATCATGCCCAGGAATGGGGTTCTGGGAACTCGAAGACCACGAAGTGGCCTACAGTTGGCTCCTAGCACTCAAAATGTGGCCCGGGAATGGAGTTCTGGGAACTCGAAGACCACGAGGTGGCCTACAGTTGGCTCCGGACATTCAGAATGTGGCCTGGGAATGGAGTTCTGGTACCTCGAAGACTACGAAGTGTGTAATTGTTTGCTTGAAACGACTTCCGCGGATTCTCCCCGGCACCCGTCCAGCATCTGCCCAGACCCCCTTGGGGCGTCATGATGCTCTCTTCTGAGCCTACTAGGAACCTATCAGTCTTCGCTGTTAGGTAAAAAGGAATCGTACGCGATCCACAGGAATCGTTTACGATACACATATACATGTATTCAAATCGCATTGGAGCCATAAATGATTCCCGTAATTTTCGTCCATGACTCACACAGCATTCGCGCACGTTTCACGCAGGAGCCGTCGACGATCCACAATGCAACCGTATACGATCCACATCGGGTCCGCATGCGATTCACATCGGGCCCCTAGGAGAGTCACATTGGAATCGTATACGGTTCACATCGGATTATTGTACGTGTCGCATCGGGTTCGTAAACGACTCAAAACGATTACTCAGATTTATGAGTATACGATTCACCCACGAGCCTCCCGCTTAGAATATCAGTTCTGCGGATGGATTGTCCTGTCGTTGGTTTTTCCCCAGGAGACCACGTGGGCCCCTTCAGGGCACACCACTGGCACTCCATACTTCTAACGATGGCTAACAATCGAAATCAATTGCGTAAGGTTTTCCGAAGCTAACATTCCAGAGGGGTGTCCCCCAGTCAACTAGGGTATAGCCTGGCCAACCGGAGTATCGCCCATCCAACCAGGGTTTCAAACATTGCCCACTGCGCATGGGGGAGGGGAGGGGGGACGGGTTCACCCCCCCCCCACCTGTCCTTGCAATTCCAGGGGGCGGGGGGCTGTTTCGAAACTCCCCCCTTACTCTGCGCAGGAGCTGGGGCGATGGGGCCCGTCCTACCCCCCCCCCCCTGGAGGGGGAGGGGGCGGCCAGGGAGGCCGACGTCCACGGGAGGGTGGGTGGTGCGGTTCAGGAATGCTGAATATTTGGGGGGCGCGGGGGGGGGTCCCACGTGTCCAAGCAGTGTTCCAAAGCAAGCGTCCACGAAGTGCGTCTCCCCCAAAGTCCCAACCCCCCGACCCGTTCCCCTGGGTTTGTGTTTCATCCCCGGTCCATGTTTGACGGTTTTGCGGGCCCGTCCAGGGTCCCAGAAGCCGAAAACGGCAAACAAAAGTCCCGTCGTGATCTGTTACGGCGACTGCACGTCTGGAGAGGAGGAGGAAGAGGAGGAGGAGGAGGAGGAGGAGGAGGAGGAGGGGGCGGAGGAGGAGGACCCACAAATGGGATGTTTTGAGTGTTTGAATACGGGGTGCTCGGAAATCCCGACCCGCTCCCCAGAGCCAGTTGTTCCTCCCGAGCAGGCTCTTGACGATCCCGCGGGCCGGGCGAGGGCGGAGGCCCAAAGAAACGGCCACGGAAGCTTCCCGCCGTGATCTCTGCTACGGCGTGAGCGCGCCTGGGGAAGAGGAGAGAGGGAGGCAGAGGAGGCCGATGGGCGTGTTTTCCACCACACCACCATAAGTTGGAGGGGGGGTCCTCCTCCTCTTCCTCCTCCTCCTCCTCCTCCTCCTCCTCCTCTTCGTCCTCCTCCTCCTCGCCCTCCTCCTTCCCCCCTTCCAACTTATGGTGGTGATGCTGGTGGAAAAGAGGCTCATCAGAGGCGGAGGAGGCGGAGGAGTTGAAGTCGACTACAGTCGGACCGAGGTATCCGATCGAGGTCGGCTCGGGGAGAGTACTGTAATGTTTTTCGTGTTTGTTGGATGTTATTGTGCATCCGGGGGGGGGACCCTTGGATGTTCTGTTTGTGTTGGCCGGCGGAGGGTCTCATGTTCATGAGGGATGTTATTCTGGCCCAGGTCCGACTTTAGACGTCGGAGTGACCTTTCGCCAGAGTGACCTTGGGTGCGGGCCCAATGGGGTCGCCCGATCGCTGAGCGCGAAGCGGTGGTAGCGGCTTGCGCGTCCAGGTTTGGCCACCCCGCGTCCCCCGTCAAGCCGCGCACCAGAGGCCACTTTTGCCTAGGGCCACTCTCGCGTGTAGCCGATGGAGAAGAAGCAGTCCACGGTACATCTGGCCACCTGGGCTCCAGATGAGCGGGCGCCGCGACCCTTGGCGCTGCGCCCCCCGGGGAGGGAGCGCGTGCTTCGCCAAGCGCCTCGGGCAGCGCCGATGAGGCCCGTCGCGGCCATTCAGGACTACCTCTCCAAGCGGCGGTACAGCCAGGAGGGCGAGGCCGTGGCCACGGCGGGAGCGGAAGAGGCGGGCCCGGTGCCAGCAGAAAGAGCTGCGGAGGAGGGCGCGGAGCGAGGCAGAGCAGCTGGCCCCCTGGAGGGGGCTCTCGTCGCCACGGCTGGGCGCGGCTCGGAGAAGCCGCGGTGTTGGACCCCAAGAGGGCCCGGGGACCGACGTTGAGTTGCCGTTGTCTCAGCTCGCCCTACTCCGAGCATGGTCAAGCAGTGGCGAGGCGTCCTAACTCGCTTATGGGGGCACGGAGCTGTGTTCCAGAACCTCTTGAGGTTTGTACGACATGTTATTCGAACATCTCTGGCTGAGATATGTTTGATTTAATCAGCCGACGGTCTGTTCTGAGAACATCGTTTCTGTTTAAGCATGTATATATGTGTATATATATACATATACACATGACAATGCTCCAGAAGCATGTCGTGATAGGCGTATAGGAATGCCCAGTCGGTCGGTCCCTGCTTGACAGCAGCGCCCCTTCCCCAGGATGCCACCCGGCCCCCAGGGCTGTCTTGGAGCACCTGGCATCCCCCTCTGGGCATGGTCGATGGCCACCCTGGGGCCGCCAAGACCTGCCTGGTGGGACGAGTACAACGACGTGACGACGAGGACGATGGGGACGAGTACGTACGACGACGACCAGGACGACAGGGACGACGACGAGGACGGCAGGGGCGAAGGGACGACGACGAGGACGGCAGGGGCGACGACGACCACGACGACGACGACGACGACGACGACGACGACGACAACGACGGCGGCGACGACGACGACGAGAACGACGACGACCAGGACGACACGGACGACGACGACAAGGGCGACAGGGACGACGAGGACGACGACGACGACGACGACGCCGGCAGCGGCAGCGGCGGCGGCGGCGGCGACGGCTGCGGGGGGCACCTCGGGGCAGGATCGCCTCTATCCGCACCCGAGAGGAGGCGGAGATGGCGGCGGGCGAGGAGCCGCTGACCGCCACCGCCGAGGAGGAAGACAGCGCGGAGAGCATCCCCAGGGAGAGCCCTCGCGACAGGATGGTGAGGCGCAAGAAGATTGTGCTTGGGACCATCGTCTTGGTATGGTTCGCGAGCGGCTATCTAATGGCCTTCGGCCCATCCCACCCCCGACCTGGGTTGTCGGTAGGAAACCTATTGGATGTTCCTTATGATCTCGTGGGGGGCCTCTCGGGGGCCTCCTGGAGTCTGGGGCATCACGAATTTCCTCAGGACTGATGACTGAGGCTCAAACGATGAAGCAAAGGGCACGAGGACACGCCCACTCCGTGCCCAGCGGCACGGTGGCGGATCTTCTCTTCGCCTCGATGGAGCTCGGGCCGATCCGGACCTTCTACCTCATGGCTCAGATCATAACGACGGTCGGCTACGGCGATTTAGTGCCTGAGACCCAGGGGCAGAAGCTGGCCTGCACGGCCGTGGTGTTGAGTTCCACCCTCTTAGTCGCCAACATAGTGATGGCCTTTATTTCTGATGTGGAAGACAAGGTTGGTGATGAAGTAGCGGCAGATATGAGTTCGATGACCCTTAATATCAGCGCATACGTCCAGGCAGAGCAAACGAGACAGGCCGGAGCAGACGATAGTCCGACAGACTTTTTGGTGAAGCCGAACCATTTGAAGCTCAAGCAACAGGAAGCTCGCTGGAAGCGAACCAGGCGAGAATTAGTCATCAGCACTGGGCTTTTCACTGCTTGCCTGGTGATCGGCGTTGTTTTCTTTGCGCTGGCGGACGGGTGCAACACACACGAGTGCGAGAGTTCAGAGGATCAGGTCAAAACATGGGTCGACGCACTCTACATGACCGTGATAACAATGACCACGGTCGGTTTTGGAGATCTCGTGCCAAACTCAAGGATTGGCAAAGGATTCTCCACGCTTTGGATGATGGCCGGTGTCGCTGTCACAGTTCGGTTGCTGGGCAACGTCTCCAGTGCTATAGATCAAGCTCTTCGCGAAGATGTGCAGACGGAGATGACTCGCGAGCTTTTCCATGACAGTGACAAGAATAGCGATGGCCATCTGGATGAGATGGAGTTTCTGCAGCTCCAGTTTGTCCAAAACGGCCTTGCCTCACGACAACAGTTCGAAGAGGTTCGTGCACAATTCAAGATCATTGCTGGTGACGATGGTAAGATCTCGGCAGACGAGTACGCAGCGTTCTTCTTGCCAGCGAGAAAATCTGGCAAAATGCGGTCAAGTCACAAGGGTGCCGCAAGTGAGCTTCGTGCAACACCATCGGCATAGAACTTAGCTGCAGAGCCTTAGGCATTAAAGGAGCCTGCCTCTGAGTCACAACGCTCCCCCTTCTGAGCTCTGACGCAGGGTCGGATCAGGAAGCCGTCACCCCGTGTCCATAGGCACGTGGTGAGCCGTGCGCCAGCGTACTCCAGCGTCGTGGAGACCTCTGAGTGGCGCCTTCCCTCCTCCTCCTCCCCCTCCCCCTCCTCCTCCTCCTCCTCCTCCTCCTCCTCCTCCTCCTCCTCCTCCTCCTCCTCCCCTCCTCCTCCTCCTCCTCCTCCTCCTCCTCCTCCTCCTCCGCCTCCTCCTCCTCCTCCTCCTCCTCCTCCTCCTCCTCCTCCTCCCCGTCCTTCCCTGCCTCCTCCTCCGCAGCAATGTCGGCCCAAGCCGCACGGTGTCAGAGGCTGCAGCCCCGCGCGCGCTGTCCCATGCAAATCGATGATTGCGATTGCCTGCTGCTGGTGCGCTGGCCGAGTGTGACTAGTTTCAGAGGCGGGAGTGTATACATGATCACCGCCCGAAGAGTCAGGCTTCGGAGCCTCGGCAGGCGGTGGATATGGACAGATTCGAGCCCCCGAGGGGCCGAAGTATATCCGTATCCGCCGCCCGCTAGGGCACCAGGACGTCGGTTCCGGGGCGGTGGATATGGATACCAGATCCACCGCCTCGCATAATGTGATGGTGCAGCGGCGCAGTCTCGAGCAACGCGAGGCCCGTCGTCTTCGTGCTGCCGAGAGGTTTTCTGCAAGTTCGTCCTTCTGGAGGTTGCCATGTCGCGGTCCCGTCTGCGGTGGCCAAGATGGATCGCCAAGTCGCTCGCGGTCTGCAGTTTAATCATGCACTGCAAAGACTATCTGGCCACCGATCCCATTCGCTGCGCGTGGCCATTCTCGCCGCCAGGAATGTGTTGAGCAATGCTGAGTTTCTGGACATGTTGCAGGCGAGCACGCTGGCTGTGTCGGCCAAGATGGTTGAGATCTGACAGCAGTCGACAGAATCGTGCGCGACATCGGCCTTGGAAGTCGACCTCGCGCTGTTCGAAGAGCGGGCTGGTTGCCACAGGCTCCCACAGCCCGACTGTGATCCGTGTTGTCTTCGTCAGCCCGCCGCCAGAGGAGGAGGAGGAGGAGGAGGAGGAGGAGGAGGAGGAGCAGGAGGAGGAGGAGGAGGAGGAGGAGCTCGCGACGCCGATGCTGGTGCTCCACGGCCCGCCGCCGCTCGTCGTGGCGTCTCTTTGTTTGCCCGAGTCTGCCGACGCTCTCGTGCTCGGGGGCGAGCCTCGGCTCGGGAGCGTCCCGGCGAGCTACAAGCAGTGCCGGTCGTCGTGGCCCAGCTGTGGGTCGGGACTTGGCAGTCAGTTGGGCGTTGCTCAAGGTGATTTCTATAGAGCCAGAAGCCAGTGTAGACATAAGGCGCCGTTGAGAATATCCATGTCGTCTGGGGCTGAGAAGCTGCGGTCCTGCGCAGGACCGTGTTGGGGATCGGAGCGACGCTCGGCTGCGCCGCAGATGACAGTGCTGCTCTTCTGGGTGTTGTCCCCGAGCTACACGTTGCTAATGATGACCCTGGCCTTCGCGCTCGTCGTGTCACGGGTTGCGTTATTCTGGATGTTGCTTGCGATCCTCAAAGCGCTTGTGGCGTGGGTCGTGCCGATGGCGGTCACACTCTGCTTGCAGATGGCGCGTCTCAGGGCAATGGCGCACCTCAGGGACCTCAAGCTGGACACGTTGCCGTGGACCAGAACCGCACTAAGGGTCGAGGCGGTGCTTGGCGTCGGCGCCGTGCTCGCGCTTTTCCTCGCCATGGGCTGGCGACGGCCCGAGGTGCGATGAAGGCCTGCACAGGTGCTTGCACTGACCTGGTGCTGAGTGTGCCCCACGCAACCCTACGCTATGAATCGGACAATACTGTGAGGTGGTTCTTCGAGACCCTGGTGCCATCCCGCCTGGCCGTGCTGATGAGGTGTCTGTGGCGGTCGGTTTCTTCTGCCTCAAGTCCCTCCCTGTGGTCCCGGGGATTTCTGTCCGCACGGCGTGCCGTTCCTTCCCGCATTGTGGTTGGGGCGTGGGCGACCGTCGTACACCCTCCTGCAGTTGTTCCGAACACGATGCTGGGGGTCACCTGGTCGGCCGCGTCCGCGGCCGAGGCGAATGCAGGCACTACGCGGCACCATGCATTGTCTTCCGATGACTTGTACGAGTAGCTTGTTGCCAACGAACGATCTTACCAAAGCGGCATCATGAGTGTGCCAATTCGCCTCGATGGTAGGAGTAGGGTTTCGCACCGCCACCCGCTCCCGCTGCCAGCCTCTTTGGAGTGGCCATCGGCAGGGATCAGAGTGGTCGGCTGGTCACGCTGGTCGCCCCTCGGATCACCCCTACGGCGCAATTGTGGATTGAGGCAAACACTCGGTGACGAGCACAAACATTGTAAAACATATCTGTCAGCGCGGTTGCTCGACGGGCTCCGTGGGTAGGCCGTTTCTAGATTTACGTCGATCGTCGCTTTGGGGGGTTTTGACAGCTGGGGCGGTGGGGCACCGCGTTTCCCACCAAACTCCGCCAGGCTGCTACTGATATGTTGTCAACGCTGCCGCTTGATGTGGCCAACGTACACGCGGCACCTCATCTGTATACACATGTCAAGTAGCCGACTTCCTTTGTGGGCCCACTCCAGAGTTAGGGTGTTCAACCAACCACCGCCAGGCTCTTTGGAGTGGCCATCGGCAGGGACCGCAAAGGTTCGACGGGTCGCGGCGGTCGCCCCTAGGATCACCCCTACGGCACCACTGCGGATTGAGGCAACGACTCGGTGACGAGTGGAAATATCGTAAAAGTCCTCTCTCTGCGTGGTTGTTGGACGGGCTCCGTGGGTGCCGGCCACTGCGGCGCTTAGGCCGTTGCGGGTTTCTGGTGATTGTCGTTCGGGGGAGTTTTGCCAGCGGGGGCGTGGGGGCACCGCGTTTTCCACCCAGCGCCGTTGTCACGGGCACCTTCTTCACGGGTGTGCCGCTGGGGCTGCTACTGATCATGTTTCAACGCTGCCGCTTGATGCGGTAAACTAACACGCGGCACCGCATATGTTTCCATATGTTGAGTAGCCATTTCTTTTAGTGGGTCTACTCCAGAGCTAGGGTGTCCCACCAACCAGTTCGTGGTTGCGGCGTGGAGTGCAAGTTCTCTCGCCTGTGCGAGGTGACGGACCATGCCGTTGCTGGCGAACATGTTCGGCTCAGTCAAATATACACTGAGTGTGATGATGCTCCACCGCTGCCCTCGGCGCTCTAGCGTACACGAGCTGACGGACGCAGTTCCCCTGAGGTTCACGCTTTCCTCCATGACCACGCAGCTTCTCCGAACACTTCCACGTCTTCTCTGAGCTTTGCGACAATCTCGACTGATTCGGCGTCGGTTGCGGGCGCGTTGACGTCTGCTGCTTCGGCTTTTTCGGGCCCTGGCTCGTTGAGTCTCGCGGCGTCTCCAGCATCATCGAGACCTCTTCTGGCTTCGGTGGCAAGCTCACACGCCCTCAACGTGAGGCAACACGGCGTGATGTTCTTTCTCCTGACGCTGGAGGCAGCGGTGTGCACCTTCGCGGACGAATGGTGTTTGAGGCCCCTCTCCTTCGGTAATGTGATATGTTGCCGCTTCGCTGCTGCAGCAAGGCATTTTTCCGTGCATGTCTACCTCCTGCACCGGGTCAGCAGCACCGATTCGATAGGCGACATGTTGGCCGATTCCTTCGACACCCAGTCGTTCACGCTCGAAGTACACGGGTCGACCTATGACGCCGCCTCCCTCGAGGACGGCCACCCATTTGCGCTCGCCGCGGACTCTTTCGACGGCTCCGACGACCGCCTGGGCGTTCTTGACAGTTCCGCCGGCTACCTGGGCAGCAATAACTACGATAAGGACTTGCTTGGCTCCCTCGACGGTGCCAAACATCTGGACAACTGCATCGCGGACCTGAGAGGCTTGGCGCAAGAGACTCTCGCCTTGGGACGCTCGTTCCTCCTCCTCCACCTCCTCCCCGTCCTTCCCTGCCGCCTCCTCCTCCTATTCCTCCTCCTCCTCCTACTCCTCATCGTACTTGTCCTCCCTCCTCCTCCTCCTCGTCCTCATCCTCCTCCTCTTTCTCCTCATCCGTGTCCTTTTTCTCTTTCTCCTTCGTCGTTTCACTCTGGCATGGGTCAGGGGCCGCGGCCCGCAGGTCCTGATGGGGGGTGTTTAGATAGGACGGCCACGCGCAGAGGGAGCAGGGGGAGAGGGAAAGGCTTCTCAGACACACTCCATCTTCTTAGAACGCGCGGGCCTCGTCAGTAAGTGTAGAGCTGGCGCCTTCTAAGAAGCAGCCTCTTTCTAAGGAGCGCAGAAGGGGGGCAGGGGGAGGGGCGGGGCTTCTCAGACGCACCCCTGCTTCTTATCAGGCGCGAGCCATGTCCGTAGATGTGGGACGTTCCAAAAGGTGCCCGAGGATCGAAGGAGTTGTCATCTCTTCCGCCGCGGAAGGCGGCGGAAGGGCGGCGGAAGGCGGCGGAAGTAAAACGAGGCCGCTTCCGCCAGCGGAAGCTGGCGGAATGTCGGCGGAAGGTGGTGGAAGTTAGAAATGCGCCCCCAATAGGTGAAAACGTTTTTGGGGGTTCCAGAATCCGCCATGTAGGGCCAGCGCCTTCTAAGAAGCAGCCTTTGTTTGAGGAGCCTCCCCCCTTTCCTACACCCCCTTGTGCGCGCCGCCAATCAGCGGCCGCGGCGGCCGCAGTTCCGGATAGGGGTGTCTGCACAGTGGTGACCTTTTCGCGGACCTCCGAATCTTGATGTCCAGGGCGCCAGCCATGGGGCTTGGCGGCAAAACTCCATTTGCGGGGGGCTCCCACATTCGAAGCCTGGCCAGGGCGCACGCCAGGAGTGGTCTGGGAGAGGGGGAGGAGGAGGAGGAGGAGGAGGAGGAGGAGGAGGAGGAGGAGGGGAGGCGAGGAGGAGGAGGAGGAGGAGGAGGAGGAGGAGGAG